TGCTCAAAAGGATTGCTCACCTCAAGGGGCACTAGCACCCCAAAAGTGCCCCCAGACCCCACCCTGGGCCCCACCACCTCCTGGCTTCCACTCAATTTGCACATTTTTATGGGTTTGTTTTTTTTTTTTTTATTTGTTGGTTGGTTGTTGAACTGTTGCTCCCTGGGGGCTGGAGCACAGGGTGGTCGCTGCGTGTGGGGTGGCTGTGCTGGGGGTCCCTGCTGTGGGAATGGGGCCACAGTGGGTCCCCCCCCCCATGGCATCACCTTCCTGGGGCTGGCTTCTTGGCACCAGGGGTTGCAGAATTTCCCCTGTCCCTCCTATGAAGCTTTCTCAAGTGACTGCTTCTATTTGTGGGCTCAACTCTACCCCCCCCTTCCCCCACACCCCTGTTTGCCACCGACAGCATCACTAGGAGCTGCCCCAGGACATCCCTCTCACCCTGAAAATCCCAAGCAACCATGATCTGCTTCAGCTCAGGGAAGCAGATGCAGAGAGACCACCACGGGGCTTGTCTGTGGATGGATCCCCATGGAGTTGGTGATGGCAGGATCTCTCCCACGGGGGTTAACAGCACCCGTGGGTGATCCCCTTGCTCGGCTGGACCGTACCTCACTTTCTTACCACTTCATGCAGTAGCTTGTCTTGGGTTTTATGTTCTAGAAACTGCTGCTGTAACTGCGAGTCTTATACTGGAGGCTGTTTTTATACTGTATTTTTGTACCACTTTTTTGAGAAGTATTGGTAAAGAGTTTGCTTTTTTTATATATATATATATAAAACCTTTTTGTTTCTTGGGGCGTGGGGAGGGGGTTTCCTGCTGTGGGGGAGGGCTCAGTCCTGCTGCACTTTAGGGAGATCAGGAAGGGGCTGGTTCCTACTGGACCCTTGAGCTGAGTCCTCCTGGAGGCTGGTTTCCCCCCTCTTGCAGGTCTCCAAACCACCTATTTGCAATAATGGGGGATTTCCCCCTTTCCCATCCTTGTGAGTATCGTTGTCACCCCTTTTTCCACCCTTGTGAGCACCTCCCTCACCACCAGCCACTCAGAAGCCCCAGTGAAGCTTTGGGCTTTGCAGGGAGCCTTGCTGGAGGGGGCAGGTTGGGGGGGTTGTGCTGCCTTTGAGGCTTCCCCCTGCCTGTGCCATCCTGCTGCCCAGCCTACAGTGGGGTACATGGGTGGCAGAGGCCCCTGTCCCCTTCTTGGGGTGCTGGCAGGGGTGACCCCACAGGACAGCACCCTTGGGTCCCTGCTGAGAACCGTTAGAGTTAACACTGTGGTTGGATTTAGCACTTTCTTCATTACCTCACACTTCATAAATAAATGAGTTTGCAACAGCCTGGGTTGGCTTTTTCCATGCAGGTAGCTGTGGGTTTCCATTGTGCTGTGATGCTCCTGGGGGGACTGGCCTGGCTGCCATATTTTGGGGTGTCCTGGCCCCAAAATGAACGTGAACAGCAATGAATATAATTTACACCAGGGCTTGGCTGCCTTGCTGCTGGTAAGACTGAGCTCTTTGTCCTGGCTTTCTCCCAGCAATGGAAACAGAAGGGAAGGCAGTGGGGCCAGGGAAACAAATCACCTGGATTATTTTTCCTCCTTTTAAGTGGCTTTGTTGGCAAGGAGGGGCAGGGAGCCCATATTGGGCTTGGAGAAGGCTTTGGTGTAACTATAAACCCTCCTAATGGGGCTCGGGGCAGTCGGTGTGGGGGATTGTTGCCCCCAGGGCTGTGGTTGGCAGAAACCCTAGAGGGGCAGGGGGGAATGCAATCCCCAGGCTCCAAGGGCCATTGGAGAACTTCCCCTACCCAGATCTGCCAAGTGGATGAAATGATAAGAGATGTGAGCTCTCCCTGCCATCCTTGAACCCAGAGCTTTTGGGTTCCCTCCCTGCTGGTGGCAAAAGTCTCACTCTGAATGCAGGGGGAGGGGGGGTGGGATCCTGTTACAGGAGTCAGAAGCTGCTGCAGATACTCAGTCGCCCCCGGGGAAGTCAGCCTGGAACAGCCAAGGCTCTGCAAGAAGCTCCTCACTGCCCCTTCCCTTCAGCCTCACACTTTCTGCGTGTTGCATCAGGCTGTGGCAAAGCCTTTTAGAGCTGCATTAAAAGGTGCTCACAGGAACCAAGGCTTAAACAGGGAGCAGGGTGACCTAAATCTGACACCTCCTCGCCCATGCGCAGCAAACAAAGCCCAGATGCACCGAGTCCCTCCAACCTTTGTTTTCGTTGTGTGTACCCTGGGCCTTGCAGCCTGGTGTCCTGTTTTCAGCTCAAGGTGACCCTCCCGGTCAGGTGTGCTCTTTCCTTCTGTGCTGAAGGCCCAGGGGGTGTTGAGAATCCTGGTTTTTTCTCTCTTGGCAATGATGTTCAGGTCCTGTGGGTTGAGCTGAGAGCATCCTCAGGGAGAAGTGGAGTTGGTCTCAAACCAAAGTGAGGAAACAGCTGCAGTTTTGCACCTACTTTTGAGTTCTCCTGCCGAAAGCCCTCACATATAAATATATACCTACCTGAAACTTCCCTGGGTACTCAAGCAGATCTCTCCCCTCGTGTTGCCACGGGGGAGGATGAGCAAAGCTGACTGACAGTGCTATGAAGTGAACAAAATAAACACGCAGGGCTTTTCCCCCTCACTTGTTCGGTGCTGCAATTTGCGAGTCTCGACCGTAACCATCACAATCCTGCATTTCCAGGCCTGACAAGAGTTATTTTTTTAGCACTCCTTGCCCTGCTCCCTCCCCCCGGGCTCTCCCCCTTCCCTCTGCGACCACCCTCCCCCCAAACCCACCTCTGCCTTCCCACCCCCGGTTGCAGGGGGCAGTGTCAGCCGGCCCCGGGCTGGCACAGCGCCGCGGTCGCCCT